TATAGTGTATTTTTTACAGACGTGTAAAAAAAATCAAAAAAATATTTAAAAAAAATCAATCAGAATCAATATTTAATCTCGGGAACGACCTTAAACGTCACTATCTTAAAGACGTAACTGAGGTTTTCGAACCGGAGTCCGCTTGAGTCAGTTGTAGGCGAGGACAGAGAGCTGACCAAAAAGCAAGTGAACGTCACACCTTTTTTTTGGGGGGGGGGGGGGGGGTTGGGAGGGGAGGGGGAGGTAAGCCCCCAACATCTCTTGCACCGCTACTGGAAGAAAAAAAATGGTTCTAAATGCAGCGGATTTGGATGTGGAATCTTCCAATCGCATAATGAGTCATACTTGCTCCCTTGTCTGATAGGGGTCAATTCGAACGTCGTTCTCTTGGGAGAGGAGCTTTGTTTGCGAAAATTTAATTTCAAGGGCTCGTGCCAACGTGACTCCACCAGAAAGGCGATTTTAAGTTTCCGGTGCTCTTTCCTGATCATGAATTTGATGATGACAGCTAGGTCTGAAAGCCATCGATGTTATGTTTTAGCTTTAATGTCTATGTTGTTGTCTTGTATGTTCTTCTCCATTGATTGTTCACACATTTTCGATGATTTTCTTTCATTGCCCACAACCTCCATGCTTTAAGATTGTATCCACATATGTTTTCATTATTTGTTTTTTCATTGTACAAGAATTCACAAGACAATACGGTCTGTTCGAACGCTCTCTAAGTTCCTAATAATAATAGTGGTTACTTGTATAGCGCACCGGTCTACCTTTCGGTGCTCATCGCGCTTAGAGAAAAGTACATGTCACAGACATAAGAAAGAAAAAAAAATAAACCGAAAAACCAAATTCGAAATTCTCCTAAACATAGTACATTTGAATATTGCAATAATTACAACGAAACAAACAAATAAGTTTTCAATTGTAATTTGAATGTTTATGTTGACGACATAATAAACAAAGAAATGCAATCGATAACATCGCTCCTGTATTTCGATCATGCTATTTGGTGAGGGCCCGGCCACTTCGAAACCGACATAGCACCGATATCAAACCGAACAATAGTTGCATCCCCAACTGCCAAATTATCGGTCGATGTGGACTCGGTTTGTCGGTGTGAATGGGTGTCCACGATGTTACTTTTTAGAATCCCCGGTCAAAGTTTAATTGACTCGAATTTGCGAAAGTAAAGTTTTCTCTCAGCTGCCTTACGGAGAAAAAAAAAACGACACCCACTTTTCGAACTGCGGGTGCCCTTGACTAGTCCTTTGGAACAGAAAGTAAAAAGTGATGACTTCGATTTCATCCCCCAGCGTAGCTAAAGGGTGGTAGCAGGGAGGGGGAATATTGCCCTGGCCTTAACTATTTTTTTGAGAATTTTGTACGGACTTTTTGTCACTACCTTGAAAAATGTTTGGGCATTTTCCAAATCTAAAACATAAACCTTTTCTTCCGTATACATTTTTTAAGTTTTAGCTTCAACTGCCCCTGCCCCTTTTCTCGATTGTTAAGTGAAAGAACTGGCTACGCTATATCGATGTTGTCAGCGTGTGTGTAGACCAAACCGCACGTTTTCAGAGAAACGTGAATATCTTATGTTATGCAGTCCCTGTTGCAACAAATGCAACACAAAGGACTGGACTACTGCAAGACACGATCTCGCTTTGCGTGAATATTCCGTACCTTGATCAATGCTTTTTCCCGCTTTATAAAAATAAAGCTTCCAGAAAAATTGAGATATGATGAGCGAGTCCAGGCGACAAAAGATGAACGGACTTTCTGGAGGAGAGTGTAAATGGTTTCCGCGCGCATCGAACAGGAGAGCAATGATGATGGATAAACCTTGGAAGCCTCTGTCGTCGTTCCTCGTTCTCCTGCTCATATCCGTGGTCGTCGATCTCCCTTCATATGCCGACGCCAAGGATGTGCGACCACCGACACCCACCGACGCGTACCTGGCGAGTTTCTTCCAACCGAGTTCGTCGGACACGGAGGTGGTGGACGACGACGACGTCGATGCGGCGGCGGCTACGGATGCGAGGACGATGACGACAACACCTAGGGGTAACTTGAGCGGACGAGACGGTATCGTTGATCTTGTCGAACAGCTAGCTGAAGGTGATGTATTGCCAATAATTATTTCCTCTAAATTGCATTTCAGACGGATGCTAAAAATACACATCTACCCCAATATCTTAATATGTATGCGATTTTCGGTTTTTAAGATCCGAATGACTAAAGTAAGAAATTTCGGAAAACTACAAATAAGTGAAGAAGAAAAAGAGAGGGGGAGAGGGAAAAGAAGGAGGTAGCTAGAGAGAGAGAGAGAGAGAGAGAGAGAGAGAGAGGGGGGGAGAGAGAGAGAGAGAGAGAGAGATAGAGAGAGAGGGGGGGGGGGGGGGAGGGGATGATGACAGGTAGATTATGCAAATTGTAAAATGACATATACAGGGGCTCAGGCGCGTACGCAGGATTTTTTCAAGGGGGGGGGGTTTTAACATTTATAAATCGGTCCGAAAATTTCGCAACGACTCAGCCAACCGCTGAATAAGCGGGGGGGGGGGGGGGGGGGGGGGGTAAGAGGACACTTTTTTTTTTTTTTTTGGTCTCGAAATTTGGAAATTTGACATTTTGCTCCGTTGGGGGGGGGGGTAAGGTCACCTTTTTTAGGTCGGCCATGGGAATAATTTTTTTTTTTTTTTTTTTTTTTTAATAATTAAAAAAAAAAAAAAAAAAAAAAAAAAAAAAAAAATCCAAAAGGGGGGGGGTTTTAGGTTTTTTTTAGGGGGGTTTACACACACAAAATTTCCAAAGGGGGGGGGTTTAACCCCCCAAACCCCCCCCCCCTGCGTACGCGCCTGCAGGGGCTGTCCACAGTTGTAGCCGCAACGTATGGAGACATCATGAAACGGAGGGTCCAAAGTGGTATACGCATGTATTAGACTTCGATTTCGAATTTTAGTCTATCGGATAGGATGCGAAAACGTAGATCCTACGATTATCTTGAAATCATATAGCCTACTTTGTTTTTCGGTATTATTTCTTGTTTTATTTATTTTATTTTTCTTCATGTTTTTTTCCAAAGTTACAAACTAATTACAACATAATAATCATGATAATGATTAATACATCATCAACGTAAAATACTTATATTATATTACTAACATGAAGTAATCACGAAGGATTGCCACATTCACTAGAGTGAGTTAATGTCACGTACACAAAGCACGAGACGTGTCCCCTTTCCAAATGTTCGGCCAAAGAGGCGCGTGATGATGGGATAAATATTTTTCTTTGCTCGCTTGTGATAGATTTTTTTATTACAAAAACAAAAAAAGTCATGAATCGTGTCTGGTGCTTATCATTCTCCAACGCTTGCACCCCCTCTCTCTCTCTCTCTCTCTCTCTCTACTTCTATTCCAATTATTTCTCTCGCTATCCTTGCATTGTTTCAATGTTTCTATGGACACTGATGTACTGATGTTATAGTTAGAAATTCCTTTTATCTTGTTCATTCATTTCCTCTTTTCTTTCTTCTCCGACCTATCTTCATATCGCCCCCTATCTCTCTTCCCTCTCTCTCTCCCCCTCTCTCTCCCCCTCTCCCTCGCTCTGTTTCTCTCTGTCCCCCTCCCTCTCTCTTTCTCTATCATTCTGTTCCATTATACCCCTTTTCCCTTTCTATTCTTTCTCTTCCACTGACCACCCCTCTCTTTATGTCTCTCTTTGTGTATGCCTCTCTCCCACGTGTCTATATTCTTTACCCGCTGATGGAGGCTTAATGAAGGGGGCTGGGGGATGAGGAGGGGGGTGGGTGCTCATGGACCACTCCTTTTTACCATCATCAACAGCATCGGTTGTGATAACGCAAAATAATAATGCTCATAATTCATTACACGGGTTTTTCTTCCCAGCGTTGGGTCAACTTTAATATGTCGTACCAATACTATACAGATAGTACTGAATGCTCATAATTCATTACACACTTTTTTTCCCAGCGTTGGGTCCACTTTAATATGTCGTACCAATACTATACAGATAGAGAATAGTTGCACCATACATGCTCGGGTAAGCTGTTCATGAAAGAAACCAATATACTACAAAAGACAAAAATATTCGTAGCTCAGTCACTCCAACGAGAGACCAAAACGAGACCGACTATATTACATTCCGAGCAGAAAAATAATCTGTGATCCCTTTTCATTCGTTTCATGTCAGTTTATAGAAGAAGAAAAAAAGTTGCTTTTCAAATGCCTTAAAATTTGGAACATAACAGGAAAAAGCTGTGAACTGTGGTCCAAATTTTCATGCCACATGTGTGCTGAGTCCCACTTACACATTTCTGTGTGGAGTGCGTGCGAAATTCAGCAATATTGCATACATTTCTAATCATTTTGATGATCTCAATACCAATTTCTATGTACCTCATACTCAACCGTCCCCGCATTACCACCAGGCTTTATTTTACACTGTAATCGATATATGACACAAACTTAACTTTAGCTTTATTACAATCCATATATGCCTACGTTCAAAGAGTGCATACAAAGTTTTGTGGTAAGTATCATTTTATTTTAATTCACTTCACAAGACCTTTACCAAAGACAATACTTTGCCCCCACATTGATGTTGATTGTATACTATGTACATAAGGCCTATATTCCGTTTACAATTTTAAATGAAATTGATATAGTTATGTTGTATAAGACTGAAAGAGAGAAAGGCAGAGTTCCCACTTAACCACTACAAAATGCATACATCGTAATAGTCACCAGACCGCACAGCAGTCTTTTACATGCATATCCATTAATAGTTTGCTTTACCCCATGCTATAAGCCCCCCCCCCCCCAAAAAAAAAAAAAAAAAAAAAAAAAAAAAAATCAAAATCAAAATCAAAAAAAAAAAAATCAAAAAAAAAATCAAAATCAAAATCAAAATCAAAATCAAAATCAAAAAAAAAAATCAAAAAAAAAAAAAAAAAAATCAAAAAAAAAAAATCAACAACAACAAATCTATAAATTATGATCCTACTCGTCCAAGCCTTATATGCCCAATATATATCACATTTGCCTAAGTCAGCCCAACCTCTAGATTACACGTAATCCTCTTTGTAGTTATGATGCCGTTGCCTTTTAGACATTTTCTCAGGGGTCTCAATCATGTAAAAATATATTCCAGAATCCGGCCGGTTATTTATATCAACGAACTCATAATCATGCTAGTACGCTCAACAGCCCAGCTTTTCGCCGGGCGTCCTACTTTAATGATCACGCCATCTTCGGCTGGCAGCAAGTAAGTGGGGGGAGGTCGCATATTGCGTGGGTGTGGTGGAGATCAAAATTAAATAGGCCAGATTCTGAACTAGTAGAAATACTGTAGCATGCGTGACCACTGGCTTTCCAGACACCCCCTTCACGAGGATTTCTTCTGAAGTCAAAGTACACCCTAAATAAGGATTTCGCGTGAATTTTGTGTACTCCTAAACAAGTATTGTAAAATTGTAACCCCTTGAGCATTTTGAAGTGCGATAGTGATTACCCTTTAAGTTGTTGACAATGTAAAAATAAATCAAATTGCGCTTCTGATGTAAAAAAAAACATATACATATCTGAAAAGCGCTTTGAAAGGGCCTGCGGTCCTTAAATGCGATATATATGAACGAACTATTATTATTATTATTATAATTCACGATGTAAACATTTATTTCAATAGAGAAGCATTAACATCAATCTGTACACTTCCAGATGGGTTTAATGCACAGGCATCATAAGTCCTTACTTTGAAAAAAATAATTACATTTCAAATTTGATCTATTCTATATAAAGTACATTAGCAAGCTGACGTAACTGAAAAATAACACTAAACGCGTACACCAGGATTTTGAAAAAGTACCACTTTTTCATGAAAATTTACCACTTTTTCATGAAAATTTGAAGTTTTTTTTAATTCCTTCCCCTTTTTGCGAGTAAGTTGAGGAGCTCCCGAGCTTGAACATTTTCATCATCCTCATGCTCTATATCACGCAGGCGCAGCTCAAGATCCATAGCCCGAACTATTTCCTCGAACTTCTTGTCTTCGTCTTCACCCGCCATGTCGTCTTTCCTTAACTCCTCCTCCGCCAACCCACCGCGCTTATCCTCGTCCTCGGTCTCCTCAACCTCCGCAGACTCAACACTCTTGTCCTCGTCCTCGGTCTCCTTGTTCTCAAGTGCATCACTCTTACTATGATCGAGCTGGTTTTCTAGCAAGTTGACGAGCTCTCTGACTTCTTCCAGTTCTTTCTTCACTTCACCTGCATCCTCCTTCAGGAGACCAAGGCCTCTCTTCCCAACCGTTTCTGGCTGGTAGAAGCAGTAGTAGATCTTGACATTATGGCCCGTATTGCCAGGTTTAGGATGTGCGCCATCCTGCCACGCGACGGGATTGGCTTCCTTGGTAGCCCACTCGAGAGATTCCTCCGTTACAGTCATGCCAAGTACCTGCACGAAAAAAAAGTTAAGACTGCACTTGTAAAGCCTTTTTCGGATATGAGTGTAATATCTTATATTATATCTCATGACACAAAGGCCACTGAATATCAGCGCACCGTGCCTTTTCAAGGAATAAATGCTGACTCATTAAACCCCTGGGTGAGGAGAGCCAACTTTAAACAAAATGCCAGGGGTGTGTTGTACAAAACTAAGATCGACTTAAGTTGGACCGAACTATGGCAGGCCATTCATGCCACTGGTTGCTCTCCCTGTTGAATTGGTCTCTTAGTTATGATCTTTAGATATAACAAAAAAATCCTTCAATAAAGAACTATCCAAAAAATGTAAATTATGTAGATTTGTGACCATGATTTGTACGTCCCTTGAGAGACCAATGCCAGTAAAACAGTGGCATGAATAGCCTACCATAGTGAAGTCCAACATAAACTCGATCTTTATCTTTGTGAAACTCTCCCCTGGTCTAATAACGCTTAAAGTGCCAGGTAGGAAGGTCTAGTATACCCTACTAGAAAGGAGGTGTGGAAGTATCGTGGTATAGTGGTTCGTTCACTTGACTCTCAATCTAAGGGTTGAGGGTTCGAATCCCAGCCCGGCACTAACGTCTGTTGGCAAGATATTAATCCACATTCGCCACTCTTCACCCAGGTATAAATGGGTACCTGGCAATAGCTAGGGTAATAATAATAGCAGGGCCCTCAGGAGGAACAGCATTGAAGCTGATGAAGCGTGCGTGGGTAATTAAACTCATTATTATTATTATAGAAGAAAACTTAATATAAAAACGTTTAGCAAAACGCCATACAACGTCATAAAATGGGATTTCAAAATAAAAGACACTAGAACCAGTTATGCGCGCGACCCACTGTGAAGAAATAAGAGGGGGAAAAATAGGTGAAATCGCAGCTTTACTACCTGTCTAATGTTGTGAGGTCTTGGCAGGCACCTTGAAGGGACACCGCGCAGAGATTCGAACCCTCAAAGGACGTTCGTACCGGGATGGGGTTCGAACCCTCAGCTATTTGAATAAGAGTCAGGTGACCCTAGACACTTACCGTCTGACATGCCCCATGGAATTTCATGAGGTAAAAGCTGCTTTCCGCTGGTAGGATGATTGGGTTGGCGGCACTGCCGTCTTCACGGCAACAGTACTCGATCTCTGTTGGTCCACCGGTATAGGTCCCCGCGGGCATCGTGTTATAGTCCGGGTCAACCCCTCTACTTACATCGTTCCATCTGATGTTACCACCCGTGAACCCTGAAATATGAAAATGAAAGAGAGAGAGAGAGAGATAGAGAGAGCGTTAAAAAGGGAAAGGGAAAAGGAGGCCGGAGTTGCATGTAGAAAGTATCAACTGGAACAATTAAAGTCTTTGGATACCAACCACCTTCATAAAACTCCTGGCAACTAAGATTTGGATATATAGTGTAAGGTAGCCTACAAGGATACATGTTATTAAATTAATAGCTGTAGGTACAATACATTTCCATGCAATAGAATAATAACTGTAGTGTCACCAGTTTTTCTTTTTGCATGTCATTATGTAGTCTTGAATCTGGCCTATCAAATTTTGATCTCCACCACACAAACGCTACCTCCCCCTACTTACTTGCTACCAGCCGAAGGTAGCGTGATCATTGAATTAAGATGCCCGGCCATAAAATTATTAGTCAGGCTGGGCTGGTGAGCATAATTAGGAACTCGTTGATAACGCCATCTTCGGCGGCTTGATGAAGAACCGGCCAAATTCTAGAATATAGTCATTATGAGACTCACCGTCTGGACAGGTTGTGCCAACTTTGTAGATGCAGTACACACCAGGCATCCAGGACCACGAGCTTGATGAAGCTGTCGGGGTGGACTTGACGCAGTAGTAGCTCCTCAAGGACTCATTGTCACAATAGTTGGTCAAATGATTCCCCTTGGAGCATGTATTGGCCCCGGATGTGTCCGTGTTCTGGTACAACATGCCGAAGTCCCACGTGAATGCTGTTGCCGGGCACGTATCCCCTGCTAGTGTCGCCGCCTCTGGCAGGGCGTATTTTCCGTCCGGCCATGCCAGTGTCATTGTCACCTGAATGTCTGCCAAAATCGACAAGAAAGAAACAACAATTTTTGTTTACATAAAGTTTGTATTCTTTCCTCTCATAAACAAACAACTGCAATTAAGATTCACATTTTATACAGAATTTACAAATACATTTTCACATAAACCAAGTTACCAATAATATCAGTTAACATTTGTCACGCATTGCCATGATACATGATTCGAGAAGTGAATACATAAATCAAATCTGCTCAAAAAGGTAACATTTGCCCTTTGCTGTTTACAAAAGGAAATAATTTTGCAGTAGGTCCTATACTCCAGTAATTTTTTCTCTCTTTTATCTTGACTACGTCAAGAATTCAGTACTCGGTATTTACATGATTCTCAGCCAAACAGCTTGAACATCCTACCTCTTTGCGTCAGCCAAACAGCTTGGACATCCTACCTCGTTGCGTCAGCCAAAGAGCTTAGACATCCTACCTCTTTGCGTCAGCCAAACAGCTTGAACATCCTACCTCTTTGCGTCAGCCAAAGAGCTTAGACATCCTACTTCTTTGCGTCAGCCACACAGCTTAGACATCCTACCTCTTTGCGTCAGCCAAACAGCTTGGATATCCTACCTCTTTACGTCAGCCAAACAGCTTAGACATCCTACCTCTTTGCGTCAGCCAAACAGCTTGGACATCCTACCTCTTTACGTCAGTCAAACAGCTTGGACATCCTACATTTTTACGTCAGCCAAACAGCTTAGACATCCTACCTCTTTGCGTCAGCCAAACAGCTTGGACATCCTACCTCTTTGCGTCAGCCAAAGAGCTTAGACATCCTACCTCTTTGCGTCAGCCACACTGCTTAGACATCCTACCTCTTTGCGTCAGCCAAACAGCTTGAACATCCTACCTCTTTGCGTCAGCCAAAGAGCTTAGACATCCTACCTCTTTGCGTCAGCCAAAGAGCTTGGACATCCTACCTCTTTGCGTCAGCCAAAGAGCTTAGACATCCTACCTCTTTGCGTCAGCCAAAGAGCTTGGACATCCTACCTCTTTACGTCAGCCAAACAATGCCTCGTGAACAACGTGAAAAAGTATTAGCTTAAAGCCCCACTGCACCACTTGGCTACTTGCGCCCTCTATATAGCAAGCAATACCTAATCGGTGACCATTGGTCCTCTATGAACCTCTTTTTCTTATGTTAATTGAGAGGTTATTTGATGAGATAACCACCTGTCAGTGACCATACATGGAGGTCATATCCCTCCTGGCCAAACTAGTGTGGTGGGGCTTAAAACTGCATATATTACCTTCACTAGGAGTGACATCATTGTATGATGGATAATCATTGAAAGCTGTCAAGATGTTTGCTTGGATAGTTCCTCTTTGCCAATTGGCTGGGCAATCTCCGCTGGTTTCATAGTCCGTCTGTCTGGTCCAGAACTTGGAATCCAACACTTCATTGAGCCCTATGAGATCTATGCTGATGGGTTCTAGGAGACATTCAGAAATTTGGTGAGGAAAAAGAAGAAAAAAAAGCACAAATTAGTTTACGAGTGCGAACCATCGAAATCCAAGTAAGTAGAAGGATTTTCCGAGACCGCTGAATTGCACCGCCGTGCGCCATCTTGGATAGAACGAGCGTTGTGAAAGCGAACTGCGACTACGTGCTATGTGTATGCTCAACTTTCGTCTGCAAATGCCATATTGTGCAGCTTTCAACTGCACCAATCGCCTTAAAAGAGGCTCTGGAATAACCTTTCATAGTTAAGTGATCACTTCATTAAAAATAAACAGTTTTGCATGATAATCCTAACGCAGAAAGCCACAGACTAAAGCGTGTATTAACATCGGTCCCATCTATTCATTTCCATGTTTGTGAACTGTTTTCGCTCGAGTTTAATGACATCGGCTATGAACTATCAAAAATATTGAATTCCACAGAGCTGCAAAGTATTATAAACCGATAATATCGAATACATGATATCCAGAGAATACTGTACTGTTTTTTTTTTTTTGGGGGGGGGGGGGATCATTGGGGCATAAGCAGGTCACTTTCTTTGTTTGACTTGGTGAAACTTGGTTCAAGTTACTTTGAAGATTAACTTGAACTTATGAACATGTTGCATCGCGGCGCTGGTATTAATATAGTGACACAATTTCCCGTGAGTCGTCAGACTTTCAAGCATTATTGTAAGAAATTTACTGGAATTTACTCAAAATTTACACCTTAATTTTGGACATTTAAATTGTTGTAAAACACAAGAAATTTTACTCAAAGTTGGTCATTGTGAAAGTTATACGACCTGTCAGTCATGGCAGTTAAAGAAGCTACCTGCATGAACCTTCCTACGTCCTCTAAAACTTGCTCCTCAGATGAATATGTGTAGATTATGTAGTGATTTCATATGGCCTAGTAAAGCACAGCACTTGAAATACAAATCAAGACAAAAAAACACCAGGCAATATTTTGCGAAGCTCCCATTATTCTGGTACATGTATATCTTTAAAGACATATACATTTTGAAATATTTGGGGATTTCTGCTGTAAAAGGGTAAAAAAAATTGGTCAATCTTATTTATGTGTATTTTTTTACATAATATTTCACCATTGATGAAATAAATATACTAATTCAAACAGACTATTTCATCTTCTCCTTCCCACTGAAATGACAGAATGTGCACTACAGGGATAGTATACGATATTTATTACGATGTTTGCCCTATTGGTCTATTTTGTGTTTTATACATCTAGGCTTACCCAGAGAGAAAGGAATTGTGTGATTCTATTATTGACACTAGCCTGTCTTCTGTCTGACAGGTTTAGGTATAGTTTGAATCTGATTGCATAAATTAGATTTGAGATTAGAATTTGCGAAAGAGGCATCAAAGAAATAAAAAAACAACTGGATTATTGTCAACGTGTTTCAGGGAAAGGGATTTTCTTTAAATTTTGTATTTTTAACTTGACTCTGATCACTTATGGTTCCCAAAGCTATTTACAAATTATTGTGCGTATGTTTCTTGATAATGGATAATGTATTCGGTGATGGCATAGTGCCACATACATGTGTGTACAAACAAATTGTTTCGTCAAATTAGATAAGGAAGTCACTGAAATCAGATGAATCCATACATTGCTTCATGAACAAACCAAAGAGAGGGAAATACTTATTCATAATGTATTATATCTTGTTGATGTTTAGTTTTTTAATGAAGTATGTTCAAGTTTTGAGTGCTAAAAGGGAGAAAATCTTGCCTTTTGTACATTGTAGTCAGTCAAAATAATGTACATGTGATTATTTCTCTGTGTGTTAAAATGAATAAGAAATGTGCCGGTATAAACATAATGTGCCATGATTGCTTGCTTGAGGAACGTTTTTTCCACACCATTGAGGATTTTTTTCTTCATATCCACCATTGCAATAGTTCATGGATGCTTTAATATGTACTGTATACATTCATGTAATACATAGTGCAATGCCAAGGTTAAAAAAAAAACTTAATAAAGATGAAAGTATTCACAATTATGTGGAAAGACATGTGAATAGTTGCCACAATGTGTCATTAATTAACACTTCTTATATGGGATGAAAATAATATCTGGCAGCTAAATGGTAGCCTCCCAAGGGAAAGAAAAGAAATAATATTAATATTCAGTGGGCCTACTTCTGCAGTGCCAAGAATCAAAGGGATAGAGAAAGAGAGAGGGGAGAGAGACAAAAAGAAAGAGGGGGAGAGAAAAAGAGAAGGGGATAGAGAGAAAGAAAGGGAGAGTGAAAGAAAAAGAGAGGGAGAGAGAGAAGGGGATAGAGAGAAAGAGAGAGGGAGTAGAGAAAGGGGTAGAGAGAAAGAAGGGGAGAGGGGGAGTGTGAAAGAAAAAGAGAGGGAGGGAGAGAAGGGGATAGAGAGAGGGGGAGTGGGAAGAGAAACACAAAGACTGAGAATTTACGAGTGCGTGTAAAGAGAAAGTGGGAGTGATTTATATAGATAGAGCCTAAATAATTTGATATATTCTTTCTATCACAGAAAGAGACAAAACTAGCCTAATACCACAAATGATATTTAACAAATAGTCTAGCTCTTTTAGTCTTTATGCAAAAAAAACCCTAAAATTTCAACTCCCCTACTGTCCAAGCTGCCACTCTTATTCCAATATTCAAGTCATCAAACATCTGTATGGGACTTGGAAAAGGGCATAAACAATATATGTAAAGATATTTTTCACCAAAACTAACAATAAAACCCTGGTTTCTGGACGTCCCTTCCTCCAATTGCAATAGGAGCTTGTACACAATACGTATGCGCAGGCGATTTCTTGTACTACGCAAAATGGCGGCGGGCGCACTCGAGCGGTGCCATTGCGCTGCGTGAAACGTGAACGGACACAATCCTTCTACTTGGTTTGAGTTCGTTGGTGCGAACGGGTACGGTGACATGCATGGTTCATATTCATGTTTTTTACAATTGTGAATGGCACTCGAAGGCTTAATTGCTCGCAACTTACAGAAGATGCAAATAAAATGAGGATATAATATTTAATATAAGTGCATGTTGGTACAAGAAATAAGACGTACGTTTCATACTTTGTAAAAGGAGTGCTTAACATTTTAGCATATGGAAGTAATATTCGAAGCTCATCAATAAGTACTCGATATATAATATTAAGATGAACTTCCTACCGCACAGAACTTAATTTTAGGTAAAAGTTATAGGGTTACACTGAGATATTTTTTCAAAGGAATAAGAGCAAATGAACGGGCTGGTGAGCTCAGGTACGAGCTCTGGGTTGCCGACGTTTCGATCAGTATGATCTCATCTTCTTTCGGAGGATGACAGTCATATTGACGAGTCCAACACGAGAATTTGTTGCAACTGTTGTTGTTGCTGTTGTTATCGTTGTTTGGAACCCTAAACCCAATCGCAAATAGTTTCGAAAATTCAACTCAGGAGCGATTTCGATACGTTAATGCCCCATAGAAATCAGGTTCGAATTAAGGAATATGTCATTGTTATATTAGAGACTTTTAGATTCGCACGAAGACAATGGAGATTGCTACGATCGACGACCTTTTAATGCACTGCCTTGAATGGACGTCACACGTATCAGTCCACACAAATCTAAAAGTCCCTATTTTCATATTTAAAGGAGTGACGGAGCGATCGCATGGTGAACTGGCCAACAGTGCGTAACACAATACTTAGTTCCCACTTCGCAGACACAGGACTAGACGCAAGAACCATTGAACAGCGCAGCTATAGGGAAGCAGCGAACTACAGTTGACATGAGATGGCCCTAGAGGGCACTTTGCGATAGTGCTTCTAGTAAAGTATGGCTTTAAGATTTGTTCCTCATCTTCAAAAATACACGTACCATTATACTCCAGGCTGCCCACTGTGTACTCTTTGTACACTTTGCCGAACTTTTCCTGCGATGCTGCAGTCTTGGTGAACCTGTCCATATCCACTGATAACGATGCAGAGACGATTTTGTAGCTACCTCCAACACTTACGCTGTTGGACATCTGTTTGAAGAACAAGAGACCGAGACAAGGTGCGAGAAACAATGAATATAAATCATGGTTCAAACTAATTTCTAGACGTTTAAGCAAAATACTGTTCAGGGACCCATTTCTCTTTTTTCAATGACAAATGACAAAAATAAGTGACAAATCTACTAATGACCAATCAGAAGCAAGGATCTTACTAGCTTATAACAAAAACTTTCAATTGTCACTGATGACAAGTTTTATGAAACACCCCGCTGGTCACTCCAAAACGTGACATAATTATAAACGCGTACGCGCATGCGCATGTCACAACTATCTCTCTCGATGAGCTATGGTTCACGTAATCGCTTACATCTCTCGTGGAATCTTTGATGAAAGATGACGTGTCCTCACGATAGGTTGTGCCCGAACGAGACCCCAATTGAGCCTCCGTCACGACGTGCTACATTGGTAAAACAAGAGAAAAAGAAACAACCGTTTATAAAGAAAGGGGAATTATGAAGGTCATGCTTCAGAATGTCCGTTTTACGTCTGTATTTCCTTATTTTGGAAATGAAAACGCACTTTGGAATCGACCATTCTGGCATTTGATTTTTCGTCAGTGGTCCTTTGAGCCGCCATGTGTTATTGACGGTTACACGAAATTATCAATATATATTAGTATTGCTGTGAATCATTGACTCGTTCATTTACCATTTATCCATTCCCTCCACCTGGATGGAGAGAGACTAGTGTAATGTTTAACCAAACATGCCAAAGGCTGGCGCGGTTAGGTTCTAGAAGAACAATGATATTATGACTATTATTACTATTAGTAGTAATAGTATTACTATTATTATTATCATTATTATTATTATTATTACTACTACTATTATTATTATTATTATTAACATTATCATTATTACATTATTATTATTATCATTATCATTGTTGTTGTTGATGTGACCATTGTCATTATCAACATCATCATTATCATCATCATCATCATCATCCTAATTAAAGGTGAGGAAAGCCTTACCGTTCCCCAGTCAGAGAGGAATGTCATGTAGGCCGCTTTGTCATAGGTAGTGGGCAGACCACAGACGGCGACACGAAACTCTCGACTGGGCTCGAACCCGTCAGTGTTGGCGAGGGCCTCCAGGTATCGAATACTGCCATAGTTCTGGATCGTTTGCTCTGAGAAGTACACGTAACCCTTGGTATTTTCATCGTTCTTGATGGACTGGTATTCTGAAACCATGAAAATGTGAAGTGTTAATAAAAGATACATTTTGACACCTTTGAATAAATACGCTTTTCAATTTCTTTAAAAATTATGATTATTTTATCTACAAAGCAATGTTTGATTAATTTTTGTGTCAATGTAAAAGAAGTATGTATATTTCTAATACTGATCATCTGCATATTGTAACGTTAAGACGACTTTAGCACTTCTGAAGGAGGTTTTATAACAATCTCTAAATATTATATAAGTCGCTTTCCATTATGATCATGAGGTCTGCGAATTTCAAAAAGATGTTGTAGATAAATTTGAAATAGGCCTACCACGTAAAAAAAAGAAAACAACTGAAACTCTCAAAGGAAAATTTTGTGAGATTAACACAATTCTGAAAAATATTAAAGTTCATTAAGTACGAACCGGTTCGAACACATGTATTATCGTGAATAATACTTGAATTTGTTCAATCATGTGATCCTTGTAATATGTTTATCGTACCATGATTCAATCAAAATAATACATTCCTTGTAAGAGGATTTTAGGAAATAGCTGTCGCCTCCCCCCCCCTTTTTTTGTTTTGCTTGTCGGAAATTCTTCGGAATTGCGCCACCATTTTTACAAAATCCTGGAACCGTCCCAGGGCGCAGTAAAAATATCGGATAGAAATTTAAATCCCAAAATGATTGTCGATGGGCCCAACTGTAAACATTCCGCCCCCAAATAGCAAGACCGCCCCCCCCCCCACTCCCCCATTAGAATTAACATGTAAGGATAGCTCTCTTACGATGGCTGGCAGCAAACTGGAAGCTAGCGAAGACAGCTGAAACGTCAACTAAAGAGTGAAAAGAGAGAATGAAAGGGACAAAAAGATAAAACTTATTGATTTATACTATTCGTTGAGTCATGTAGATTGCCATATATTAAAAAAAAATAGACTAGAAAAGCATACCATAGCAGGATACCCCATAAAAGTTAATGATCAGCTTTTACAGACAGACAGAATCGACAATAAACTCGTTCTTAAAGATGTTCATGCGTGGGTATATAGTCGTTCGTGAGTAGCTAACTTCACGATCGCTACATAACACTGATCTGAGCCAGGTATTCCGCCGGTATTCCGCTCCCGTGCGTACGTCCGTGTGCTGCCCTCTATATACCCACGCTTGAGCAAATTTAACTTCTTCATATACGGTGTTGACGCCCGGGTTTTCAATAGAACTACCCATCTCGTAAATAGGGACTTTTAGAAATGCACGTCAAGAGCTTTGACTGCAACGTGTGACGTCATTTTAAGGCACTGCGCCTGCGTCACGTGGTCTCAGTCGGCGATCGAGAATGCGTCAACCTTGATTTTCCTAAATCTAGTACATGCAATACATACATACATATTGACATTTATAAAGCGCCTTTACATGCTGAAATGTGTAGAACAGGTGTCACATGCACCTGTTCTACACATATTTACATATTAGCAGTGAAGGGATGTTCTTTTGTTGAGGGTAGAATGAGGAATGTCCTCTTTCTTTGTCCGTGATGTTTATCGTGTTACTTCCTGCATGCATATCGTCGAGTGCAATCTAAAAGATTTCTAATTGTAGCCAACATGGGCAGTTAAGTACGTTGACACGCATGATCAGTCGGCGTTCGTCGTGTTCTCGTTCACTCATTCTAAAAGTCCCTAATGTCAAGGCACGGAAAAGAAGGAATTTAAAGTTATTCGAATCCCCTCCATCCGCACCCGTTATTTAAACAAAATACGAAACATCCGTTCATGTGTCGTCACCCCCTGTCTCAATGCGCAATGAATTAAACTTCCATTGAGTGACGTCATTTACGTAGAAACTCGCTAGATAACGCTCTGTTTGCGATTTGTTGAATTTCATCGCCTTTGTAACATGCCCACTAATCAAGCACGAAATGACATCTGCCTAACGCAGGACTGCGTTGGCGACTATAAACGCAGCTTTGCCAGCTTGATTAACGCAGATAATAGCGCGATCAAAATGATGCAACATGTGAAACGGGTATTTCACGATATAGCATGGGGCCAGTGGCGTACGCAGGATTTTTTCAAGGGGGGGGGGGGGGGGTTATCATTTTTAAATAGGGCCGAAAATTTCGCAACGCCTCAGCCAGCCGCTGAATAAACGGGGGGGGGGGGGGGGGTTGTGGTCCCAAAAAATTCGCAACGACTCATGGGGGTGGGGGGGGGTAGGGTCACTTATTGGGGGTCACCCTTTGGTACAATTTTTTTTTTTTTTTTTTTTAGTATTAAAAAAAAAATATTTAGGGGGGGGGGGTCATCAAAAATCATACAGATACAAAATTGAGAGGGGGTTCAACCCTCAACCCCCCCCCCCGCCGCGTACGCGCCTGCATGGGGCTACAAAACGAGCAGCTTACCATCGACATTCACCTGATGGGAGAGCTTCTTGGCGTAGCTTTTCGTTCCGTAAAACGTATCCTTCTCTTGCGACGTGTAAGAGCTACTACGTCGCACGAAATCCACTTCGTCGGGCACTCGGTACTCGTTGTCGGCCGTCACTTTCCCGTTGTCGTAGGTGAGTTTCAAGACACGCCGAGTCGTCAAGAGCCCGGGGTCGACCCCTCCAGTCTTTTGGTTACCCTCGGGGTTTCCCTTGATGATATCGTAGGAGATGCCGACGTATTTCACCTGCTCTGGAACGGGCTTGGTAGAAGCGCCTAGTGATAGCGCAGGCATTAGGAAGAGGAGGGCGAACATGTAACCGCATACACTACGTGGTGTCTCCATTGTGAAAACAGATCTAGACTAAGAGGCCGGAAGAAAGAGGGAAATAAAGCAGGAAGAAGAAGAAGATGATAATAACTAATGTTTGTTTACAGGCTTACAATACATCGATATACAACGTTTGCATCATGTGAATGTATATTGCAAAAAACAACCAAGCACACAGAAAACAACACAACAACAAACTGCATGGACCTAAATAGCTATTATTCCCTCAGATGTTTAACACAATGCCTGTCACTGAAATTCTTGTGTAAAAATAAGGGGGGGGGGGGCAAACGTATTGACCCCTCCAACTTAAACGGTGCTTCATTTTTAAGAAGTTACATCCGTTTCACACGAGACGTTGATTTCGAATTGCGTTTGGTATTACTAAGCTAATAAAGCCGGAGAAGGAAATTGATACATCAGTTAGTAAGTGTTTGCACTATTTGCAATGTTCCCTATATGTGAACTCACTATTTACTCATACATGGTGCATCATAAACACCTGTACCGACGCTGTCCTACGCCGCAGCAAATAGGGACTTTTAGATTTGCACGACGAGAACGTGGACTGCTATGTGTGACATCCTTTTAAGGCACTGGCAGTGCCCGGCGGTGCCTTAAAGGTACTATGTCCCTTTTGCAGCCAACCTCAAAAGCTGTAGAACTTTGCAGGTATTATGAATATGTCATGTATGTCCTATCTGTGAAATTTAAACGTTAGCAGAGTCCTCATATTCAAATTATGCAAGGAAACCCGTTTACTTGCTAGACTTCACTGTCAGACACTATTGAGTGACTGACTGGCTTTTTTTTCTTCTTTGGTAATAACATACATGAAAAGAGTTGTAAAGGGTACATGAGCATTTGTCTACATCAATAACCCACTTCTTGTGATGGCCAAGATTAAACTGATTGAATCTTTGCGCAGCATAAAACGTATGACCATTCGGTACAATTGTCTGAAAATCAAGACTTTTACTTTTGGGCTCTATAGCCCTAAAGTCGATTTGACAACTAATAGTCGTTATTTTCCCACTTGAAGACATTTTCAAGCCCCACCTTTTTTTAGGGAAGTTCTAAATTTGTATTATCTTTCAAATGCAGTTGGAATTTAACTTTTTCATTTTTTGGGGCCTGCAAATGGGACATAGTACCTTTAAAAGGACGTCACATTGCCTTATAAGGATGTCACACGTAGCAGTCCACAATGTCGGCGTGCAAATCTAAAAGTGCCTAATGACGCTTCATGTGCAACGTGCTTTGACACTAACAGCCAGTTGATTCAGATAAAGTCGCGACAGCGGAAGACACATCTGATTGGTCAATTACATGTATTTTAAAGAGCTCCAAATAGTTCTCCCCCATAAAGAGTGTACAAGTATTCTTCTTCTTCTTCTTGATTTGATTTTGTTTGACAATCAGTTACAGTTGATTTTTTTTTGCCACACACTATTTGATGAATTATTTATATATACATACAATTTCATGTCATAAATGACTATTTTTAGGATTCTTTCTCTTTCCATCCCTTTTCCTTCTGCTTATTTTCTCTTTAGACCCTATATTCTTGTTTTTTCTTTTTTTTAGAGAAAATTCAATAAATTAATAAATTTGGAAAGAGACGTCTTGGCTCATTGATTTAGTCTATCACCGGGCTCGCGTATGCATTTATGCGCAGGTGTCACAACTATCTTTCTCAAAGCGCTATGTTCATGAGTAGCTACTGCCCTCTCTCAACTGACTTTCGTCCATCTGTGTCTATAGTTACACATTTATCATGATTATATTACAGCAGCGTAGTGGACGCGGATGATTGGTCATGAATGGAAATGGTAACGGCTGACAGGTCATGAGGTCTGCAGTTCTCTATGCGGATTGAATACCATTATTATGACATATATAAACAACTTTTTGAAATTTATAAATTAAGATCCTATTATATATATATATATATATCTATACATTTTATATTGCGCAGTCAGTGTCTTATGTTCAGCTATTACTGATGGTCCGAGGGATGTACGGCCCAAATTTGATCACAAAATTGACATCTCCGTCCTTCAATGTGATAGACAGAGCGGGAATATTAATTAATTAAGTTCGGTTTCTTTTCTCTATATCGCACAAATGTCATGAATTTAAGAAAAAAGTATTGACACATTGACATTCAAGAAAAAGACAACACCAATGCTGAAGAAATCTTCGTCTAAATAATTAACCATTTTGAGTTGAGTATTTGAATATTAGCCAAGAGGTGGGAATTCCAATATTAAGATAACCTTTCAAGGTTTCATCACTTTTATCGAACGAAGATGATGCAAAAGTTTACCCCGTATATTTGAACTAGTAATACTTCGCGGTGTCTATCGATAAGCCTTTCATCTTCGGTTTGCTACGATTTGCAAAGTTGCCTTTCGAATAAAAAGAAATCCCCAGGGTTTTAGTTTTCTTTCAATCCTATCTCTTCATTGGTATCAATCTTCTCAGCTATTGCTGCCGGCACATCGTTTTTTTTTTACGCGACGATCAATTTTTATGTCTTCTATTTGATGACAGCAACAGCCTTTGAAATCAAGTCTATGAGAAAGCGGGGGTGGGGGGGGGGGAGAGTATAGGTGAGGGTCTTTCTTGGGTATATTAAAAAAATTGAGCCGAACGCTTCCAAATTCCGTCATCTCTTTTAAATAGTCAGCCGAACCTACATTTTTATTATTTCTTTTGAAAAAGATGTTTGATTAAATATAAGAATGGGTACAATTACTTCTAAGGGTACCTGCCAGACTGAGTAAATTCTATTCAGGACCCGTGGTACAATAGGACAAAAGAGTCCACATATATAATACAATCTGCAAAATATCTGTGAAAAGGACAAATTTGCTGAAATATCTTCATGCGGTTATGCAGACGAAAACACATTAAGTTTGCATTTTTTCAAGGGCCTTGAGGCTTGAGGGCTCGATGTTCATCCAAAAGACTAATCCTTTATTAAGTAACATGAGATCTTAATTTCACCCCTGTAAACATGGTAAATGTAGTCAATACGAGAGACCCAGATGAATTTGAACCCGCATAACAGTATCATAAGAATACTGACAAATAGGTAAACAGACATACAATTATCATTCCATGGTATTTGATCTGCCATTGAATATACCACCAAACCTGAATAAAGGCTTCGTGAACTAACGAGCAATACTGGGTCAAACCAGGCCCACTCTGAAGAGCCTGAAGAAAATAATAATAATAATAAGATATTTCTAAACCGAAAATTGCATAATGCCTCGAAGAGGTTTAGATGGAAAATAGTTGATAAGTAAAGGAAACAGAATTTGCATTACAAATTACAACACATCCAAGTTCGAAAGTTCGCAAGTTTGACCTAAGTCGAAAAATTGTTGTGCCCGACTCGGTAGGCTTAATATTTTTGTCCGACTATGATTAAATTCACCCATGAAATGACCAAATTTCATTTGCCCAAAATTATTATGATTCTATCTAAATGTGAAGGCTCTGTGTTATCTATTACACTCTTTCTAAAACTGCCATATTTTCCTACAGTGAACAACGACAGAGCCCTTAAAAACAGCCTTCCTTTTAGCATGTTTAGGAAGCAAATTCAGATTCACTAAAAATACGCCTAATACTTCCACAATTAGTTTGTAAATAAAGCTCATGTATATGATGACATAACACGCAAAAATCAAATCAAGCTCAGCTCATTTATTAGTATTCTTGTAAGAATTTTGGGAATTCCAAAGACATATTGTTCTACAGAGGACATTACAACGAATAAGAAATCAAAGAAGGTATACATTTTACCCCTGTCAGAACTCAATCCGCTCTTTAAACAAGTATCTGAACACCGTTATTGAGTCTTTTGTTGGTACAGTTTTAAAAGAAGATTTCAACTCATGAAGCGGAAGAAGAAGAAAGTAGAAGAAGAAGAAGAAGAAGAAGAAGAAGAAGAAGAAGAAGAAGAAGAAGAAGAAGAAGAAGAAGAAGAAGAAGAAGAAGAAGGAGGAGGAGATGTCTCATCGGTATAATTAGGGTATCAATGGCCATAATATTAGATCTAGATCATGATTTAGATGGATTAAAGACAGGCGATATCCCTTAGTTTACATCGCCAAACCCCCCGATAATCAACATTTCATATTCTCTTTTTCTTTCCGGTCTGTCTGGTTTCGGTGTCGCTAGTATAACTGGGGGGGAAAATCGTCACATTTCGAGATCGTGATATACAGTTTAAAATTGCTGGAAAGTTGCGAATTGTGGTTTCTAAGAAAAATGATGAAATTCCCCTGGACTGACAAAGTTAGTAATGAGGAAATTCTTACACGAGCTGGAGTGCAAAGGAAATGATACGTGAGATGTTGATTAGGCAGTTGAAGTTCATGGGTCACATTACACGCAAAGAAGGCCTAGAGAATCTTGCTTTGACAAGGAAAATTGTGGGAAGAAGGAGTAGGGGAAGAAGGAGGATACTTTGGATGGACAGTCTGCAGAAATTGTTGGAAGAGAGAGGAGTGAAAGAACTGGGAGTGGTACTTATACAGAAGGCTAGAAGCCGAGGGTTGTGGAACAGCAATGGTCGCCAAAGTCAAACGATATGACACTTAGAGAGAGAGAGAAAAATATATATACAAGGGGAAGACTGCCGATATACCTTAGTTTACATGCATACTAAACCGACCAATCACAATTTTTTCCTTCTTCTCCTTCTATTTCTATTTATTTTTGGAGGTAGGGAGGATCTATTGTCGGTCTCGTTTCGCTCTCGTTGGTATAACTGCGGTATGATAATGATGCTCATGCTCATGATTTTATGTTTGTCGAGAGACAGAGGTGTTGAAATGTTCGAAAAATGATAATAACAAATGGTGGGTTTTTGTGTAGCATTCACATCTGGCACTACCCCTGCTTTAGAACTACTGTCATTTATACAGCAGTGGAGACGTTCAAGGAATTAGTTCCTGCCAGGTATACCCATCTACTTTACCTGGGTCGAGTGTGGC